CCACTCCCTTTCTATGTCCCTGATTCTATTATATTCACCAGTTTATTCTGTTCATCAGATTTTTTATTCACTTGATTTTTAGACTCACTTGTTGATATGTATTTGTTGTCACTTTGTTGTTCATAATTTTTATCTTTACCTTTTGCATCTCCTTCTTCAGCCCCATCCCTCAAAGGAATACCCTTCAGCATTTCATATAATACTGGTTTGGTGGCCTGAACTCCTTTAGCTTGTTCTAATCTGTGAAGCTCTTTATCTGACCTTCAATTCTAAATGATAGCTTTGATGAATAGAGTAAGCTTGGCTGTAGTATCTTGCTATTCATCACTTTGAAGATTTCTTGCCACTCCCTTCTGGCCTGCATAGTTTCTGTTGAGAAATCAGCTGACAGTCGTATGGGTACTCCCTGTAGGTAACTAACTGTTTTTCTCTTGCTGCTTTTAAGATTCTCTCTTTGTCTTTTGCCCTTGGCATTTTAATTATGATGTGTCTTGGTGTGGTCCTCTTTGGATTCCTTTTGTTTGGTGTTCTCTGTGCTTCCTGGACTTGTAACTCTATTTCTTTCACCAGGTAGGGGAAGTTTTCTGTCATTATTTCTTCAAATAGTTTTTCAATATCTTGCTCTCTCTCTTCTTCTGGTACCCCTATAATTCGGATGTTGGTACGCTTGAAGTTGTCCTAGAGGCTCCTTACACTATCTCGATATTTTTGGATTCTTTTTTTCTTTTTGCTTTTCCGGTTGGGTGTTTTTTGCTTCTTCATATTTCAAATCTTTGACTTGATTCTTGGGATCCTCTAGTCTGCTGTTGGATCTCTGTATATTATTCTTTATTTCAGTCAGTGTATACTTTAATTGGTCCTTTTTCATATCCTTGAGGGTCTCACTAAATTTCTCAGAGGTTTCTAGAAGATTTTTGAGTAAACTTATAACCGTGGTTTTGAACTCTATATCCAGTAGTTTGCTTTCCTCCATTTCTTTCATTTGTGACATGATTCTTTGTCTCTGCATTTTGGCTGCTTCCCTGTGTTGATAGAGTGGCTTTGTGTGCTAGGTGTCCTATAGGGCCCAGTGGCTCAGCCTCCCCAGTCACCTGAGGTGGACACTCTTGGTGAACCCCTTTGTGGGCCGTGTGCACAGTCTTGTTGTAGTTAAGCCTTGATTGCTGTTAGTATCACTGGGTGGAATTGACCTCCAGACCAATTGGCTGTGAAGACCAGTTATGTCTACAACAGGAGAACTGCTGTGCTGGAAACACCCTTATGGGGCAGGACTTGCTTCAATGGGGCTTTGGTGCTCACTAAGTCTGCCCCCTGAGTGTGTCTCTTATGGATCTGAAGAGTTGGAATCTGGTATAGTCTTACTCTGACCACTGGGTACACTGGCTCTTGGATCTCCAAGGAGATGCAAAGTCAGCCACTGCCTGAGGCCACCCAGCAGGAGCTACAGAGAGATCTGCAGATTCCTCCTCTTTGTTTGGGGTTTGGAGGTGCCCAGATGATGCGCAGCTGTGAAGCAATGCAGGCTGCTGAGGAACCTTATGCCTTCTTTTGAAAGCTCTGTGGCTCTTTGACCCAGCTGCAGTTTGTTAGGTTTTAGATTACAAAAGGCCAGGTCATTCATATGCAAAATCCTCTGCTCACAGCTTGGGTGGGGTGGGGTCTCAGGGAATCACTGGGCAGTGCAAACAGCAATGGTTGCCTGTCAGTCAGTCCTGCCCTGGATCTCTGTGTCCCACGGCCGTGCAGGAACATCGATCGCTTCAAGCACCTCTGAGAGAAAGCCACCCTCGTGTTCCGGCCCGATGCCAGACAGTCCAGTTTCTCCCCATATGAGTCTGGGTCCCCAAAGTCTCACCCGGAACTGGAGTTCAGAGCAGTTGAGAGCTTGTATTTTCCTCCCGATTGAAAAAGACAACAGCATACCCAGTTTCCAGCCAATTTCAAGCATCTCCGTACCTCCGCTCTTCTGCACCTCTGCACCTCCTACCAGTCTCGATGTGCTTTTCTCTTTCTCTCTAGTTGTCGGATTTCCACTCACCCAGCCTTCCCGTGATTCTGGATGATATCCGTTTTGTCTTTTAGTTGTAGTTTTGATGTGGTTGTGCGAGGCAGCAAGTTCAAGTGTTTACCTATGCCGCCATCTTGGTTCCTCCCTGCATTGGTTCTTTCTAAGCTCTTTTCATCTTCCTCTCCAGCCATCTCACTGCTTCTTTACCAGACTCTTCCCTGTGAGTCTCTCCTCTTCCCATGCCTGTCAAGGTCTTACCAGCAGTGATGTGGAGTTCACAGAGGCCCCGTTCCTGCTGAAGTTGTAATAGGGAAAGATGTGATCCTGGCATTCAATCTTGCCATTCACATGTAATTTTCCCCTCAAGGTTTATGAGTCATAGGCTCTGTAATACTATATATTTTTTAAACATTACCAATTTAATAGGGTTTTATGGATATGGCTGAGAATCCAGCCATTCACTTTCTCATTTGGTAGAAAAATGAGTTTCAAGTTCCATGAAGACACCTTTACAGACTAAGAAAAGCTCAGCAGGGCTGAGTAGTAAAAGTTGAGTGGGCGTGGGGGGAATCAAGTGTGACTATTTGTATTAGAATCTCTAGTCCTCAGGAGGCTAACTAGCTACTCTTGGATACGTTATACTGTCTAAGTTTTTGTTCACTCATCTTCAATAGTGAATGGGGAGTTCTCATCTTAAGACGTTGGTAAGATATTACATTTGCAGTACAACACATGCTTTGGATTTATAAATGCTCAGTGAATGAATGGTCACTGCTATCATGATCATTATATTGCCACCTTATAAGAGGCCACTATAGTGAAGTGCTAAGCTTTTCAGAAGTGGGCTTGGAATTACAGTAAATAATTAGCACATCATAATTCTTAAGCACAATGTTTAACATTTTTCTAGTGCTTTTAAGTTAGGTAGCTATTCTTAAAAAGTTACTACTGTGAATACCAGCATAAGCAGAAATCCTTTTAGCTAGTCTCAGCAGTGAAGTGAACCTTTGAAGAAAGGTATATAACATACACTTGTACTGTTATTGTCAAAGCTGACCTTTACATAGATTGGATTTCAGCCTCTAAAATTTTCATTCCATACTCTTTAAGAAAAATCTCAACTGTCTGTTCTTCAACCATTACCATCCTTTTTCTTCTCATAGTTTGATCTTTTAGAAATACAGTAGATGCTTACATCTTTACTATTATGAAAATAGGATATTGGAAAAAATAAGCAAGTCTAACTAGTGATGATCATGGATAAAAGGTTGCAATTTACTTTTCAAATAGTTACAAGATACTGGGTTTAACAGGATATAAGAGAATACTGTATTTCCAAGGGAAGCAAGTCATTAAGAAATCTCACATAATTTGATTCTAAATTTATTATAGAAATATTTTTAATGAAAAAAATTGTTAAAAGAGATCCATTAAGAGCTTATAAATTTTTATAGAATTTGAAATTAATATTTGCAAAATATTACACTGTTATTCCAAATGAAAGTTTGGCAGAGTTTTGAACGAAGAGCTTTCTCAAATTTGAATGACAGCTCTGTGAAGGTAGGGATCACATTTGCCTCATTGATTGCTATTTTTCTGGTGCCTATGATATTGCTTGATACAAGTTAATGTTCAATAAATATTTGTTGGATAATTTTTTTATTCAGTTATAATTGACATATATATCAGTTTCAGGTGTACAACATAGTGATTCAATATTTGTATATTACAACATGATCACTATAAGTCTAGTTAACATCTATCACCACACCTAGTTATGAATTTTTTTCTATGATGAGAAAGTTTAACATTTACTCTTATCAACTTTTAAATATATAATACAGTATCATTATGTAGTAGTATTTACTATAGTCATCATACTACATATTATATGGCCCATGACTTATTTATGTTATAACTAGAAATTTGTATCTTTTGACCCCCTTTACCCATTTTGCCTACCTCTTCTTCCCCACCTTCAGCAACCACTAATATGTTCTGTCTATGAATTTGATTTTTTGTTTGTTTAGGTTCTATGTATAAATGAGATCATATACTATTTGTTGTTCATGGTCTGAGTTATTTCACTTAGCACAATGCCCCAAGGTCCATCTGTATTGTCAAAAGTGGCACTATTTCGTCCTTCTTACAGTTGAATAATATTCTCTCTAAAAAGTCAATTTAAAAAAAAGTTATTTTAGACCCACTAAACAACATAAGTAATATTTTATTAGCGTTTGCTAGAGATTGTAGATTACAGGTATTTATATTAGTTTATTTTTGTTATCCTATGCTACACTAGTTTTATTTATATAATTTGAATTATTTATTCACAATACTAAAACTTTTTCAGTGTCCAGCATGAATTTATTTTTACCTGTTTCATAAGTATATTTTGTTCCTCAAGTTTTTCAAGATTATTTTAAAGTTATACTCTTCTTTTAATCCCAGAAACATTCAAGAAATTTGCTTTTTAAATGTTAAGAATTCAGAGATAAACAATATTAATAGTATGATATTTGTTGCAATGTATAAATTCATTTTCTCATTTCAGATTCCCAAATGCTGGAAAATCCTCTTTGCTAAGTAAAATTTCTCATGCAAAACCTGCAGTTGCAGATTATGCATGTAAGTATAAGTCGTTTTGTATTTTAATGTGTAGTGGTGAATTTTTAAAAGCGAATCTTTCTCGTAGTATGAACAAAATGACAACTCATGAGGGTAGCCTTATGAATTTGAAAACTCTTGGCAGAATATATGCATTTCCCATTAATCTTTGAAACTTCTGCCCTCAGCAGTTTCTGGTACTGGTTACTTCCTTTGTTGCATTTACTTTTCTGTTGCATAATCATTTATTTGGTTTAGTTATGATTTTATGAGGCTCGTGCAGGATTGGTGAGGCTTGAAGATCACTGAATGCGAAAGGACTAGACCAGACATAGTGATAGAAGTCTAAATTCTGGTCCACCCACCAAGCTTCTTCAAGTGCAGCAGAGAAACTTTGAGGCCCACTAATTAGATTGGACTGTGCATATTATAAACATCTGTGTTTGTTCTTTTCCAAGTTTATTGTACATAGCAAAAATAATTGTACCTTCTATATCAACAAATGAGAACATAATCTGAATTAACTTGTTCACAGAAAAGTATTTTTTATTTTATACATAATGCTAAGACAGTTTTGAGAGTATCGCCCTTTATTTTAGGCTTTATTTATTATTGCTTTTTTCTTTTAGTTACAACATTACAGCCTGAACTTGGAAAGATCATGTATAAAGATTTCAAACAGGTGGGTATTTTTAAAGTAAGACACTTGTAAAAAAAATTAAACTAAAGTAACAGACTTGGTTGGAAGTGAAAGTACTTGCTTTTGGTAGTTGGACTTTATATTTGACTGTTTCTGTCGTGTTCGGGGGAGAGGGACAGTTGCAAGATTTTGTTTTTAGTAAGTGAGACTGTGATCAAGTCAATAATGAGTACTGTCAGTAAAATACTGTATAAGAATGTAGCTTTTTAAAATAGGTATTATTTTTTTAAATTTACTGGGGTGACTGGTTAATAGTTATATAGGTTTCAAGTGTACAGTTCTATGCTACGTCTGTATATTACATCACCTGCCCACCACCTAAGCTTCCATCACTACATATATGATCCCCTTTAACCTTTACTACCCCTCACCCCGCTTCCTTCTGGTAATCAGCTTACAGTTGTCTGTATCTATGAGTTTTTGTATGTGTATTTTTCTTGTTTGTTCATTTGTTGCTTTTAGTGTTATGTCCCATATATGATTTCACTTATATGTGGATTGCACTCAGGTGAGAATGTAACTTCCTATTCTTTGGAAGTTTAAGTCCAGTTTGTCATTATAACATCTTCTTTATTTTCTTTCTTTATTTATATCCTCACCTGGGAATATGTTATTTTTTATTTTAGAGAGAGAAGAAGGGAGAGGGAGAAAGAGAGAGAGAAACATCAATGTGAGAGAGAAACATCGATTGGTTGCCTCCCGTACTCACCTCGACTGGATGACATTACGACACACCAACCAACTGAGCCACATTGGCTAGGGCCTCTTCTTTATTTTCTTCCTTTTTTTAAAAAAAATATACTTTCATTGATTTCAGAGAGAAAGGGAGAGGGAGAGATAGTAACGTCAATGATGAGAGAGAATCATTGATTGGCTGCCTCCTGCACACCCCCTACTAGGGATCAAGCCCACAACCCAGGCATGTACCTGACTGGGAATAGAACTGTGACCTTCTGGTTCTTAAATTGATGCTCAACCACTGAGCCATGTGACCAGGCTTCTTTATTTTCTTAATCTCTGTGCTCATTGCAAGTCCATATTTACTTCCATGTTTGATTATTAATTTTCATTAACTAAAAACATTTTTTAAAGTTCATGGAAATGATTTTATTTCAACTTTCTCTTTAGAAAAGTTTTAGTTGAATGGGACTTTGACCTTATCTACCTATTAAAAATTATTTTTCTTTAATAAGGAAGAACTGTAGATGTTTTTCATAACTAGACTAAAACAAAAATATGTAATGTACTATCAGCAATCATGTTCCTTGGTGTTTGCCCAAATGAGTTGAAAACTTATGTCCAAACAAAAACCTGAACACATGTTTGTAGCAGCTTTTTTGATAATTGCCAAAATTTGGAATCAATCAAAGTTGTCCTTTAGTAGATGAATGGGTAAATGTTGGCAAATCCAGAAAATGGAATATTATTCAGCACTAAACAGAAATGTGCTACAAGCTATGAAAAGACACAGGAATCTTTTTTTAAATGTTACCAGCACTTTATTATTTATTTATTGATTGATTGATTGATTTCAGAGAGAAGAAGGGAGAGGGAAAGAGAGATAGAAACATCAATGATGAGAGAGAATCATTGATTGGCTGCCTCCTGCATACCCCCTACTGGGGATCGAGCCTGCAACCCAGGCATGTGCCCTTTACCAGAATCAAACCCAGAACCCTTCAATCTGCAGGCCGACATTTTATCCACTGAGCCAAACCAGCTAGGGCGACACAAAGGAATCTTAAATGCATATTACTAAGTGGAAGAAGCCAGTCTGAAAAGGTTGCATACTGTATGACTCCAATTATATGAGATTCTGGGAAAAGGCAAAAAAAACTATGGAGATAAAAAAAAAATCAGTGGTGGCCAAGAATTAGGGGGAATGGAAGGAAGGGATGAATAAGCAGAGCACAGTGGATGTTTAGGGCAGTAAAACTATTCTGTATGATACTATAAATGGTGGATATGTGTCATATATTTGTCAAAACTCATAGAATGTGCAAAACCAAGAGTGATCCTAATGGACTTTTGGTGATGATGTATCAATGTTTCATATAATCCATTAACATAATTCAAAAGAAATAAGATTTATACTGCTTTAACAGTGATACAACAGTAAATTAATAAAATTTTAAGTTATATAGAATATTAAATACTAAGCAATTATAAATACAAGGTAATATGAATATAGCAAACAATACTTAGAGAAAAAGAGAGCATTGTTTGTAATTTTTAAGGGAAATTACTAGAGAACCTTCAAATAAAATTTCAGGACATGAGACCTCTGTAGTGTACACTGCTTTGTCACATACTCTGAAATCTTTATTCACAGGAGCAGTGTGTGTAGAGCAGTGTTTCCCATACCTTATTGCTATTCAGAATGATTTGGGTAGCTTAAGAATAACAATGATAAGTAAAGCCTGCACTCCAGAGATTTGAAACCAGATCTCTTAGGTGTGGGGCCTGGGCATCTGTAATTTATAAAACTGATTATGATGTGCAGTGAGGTTTGAAAACCACAGATGTAGGATAATGGCTAATAATGCTTATGATCGCCAAAGGAAAACAGGGATGCTATATCCTTTACTTTTTAAGGATGGTCAATAGTCCTCCTGATAGATTATGAATAGAAAAGGACATTAACTACATAAAGAATTTAAAATTTAAAACTGCAGAGCTGTACTAAGTAAATGCCAGTTGAATTAGTATCTTTGAGCACTTTTAAGCATTTAGAAAGTTGAAATTCTGTGGAAAGTTTACATTAAACAATGTAATTTATGGAATTCTTACTAGAATTTTGTGATTAATAACTGTTATATTAATCCCTAAAGTTCCAGATTGTTAGATTAATAATTAAAAATGGGACTCTAATTTCTGATAAAGAAGGATTTTGATTCTTAATACATTTTGTTGTAAAGGTATTTTGGCTTTATAAAGATGCAGGGCTAATCACAAGTCAGGACTTGTTCGTACTCGATATACCATGAAACATTTTTTATGTAATTCTACTTACGGTTTTCATGTATTTTTCTTTTTTATCAAACCATTTAACTTTGTATTAGATATTGGTAGCTGATCTTCCTGGTTTAATAGAAGGAGCACATGTGAACAAAGGAATGGGCCACAAATTCCTCAAGCATGTAGAAAGAACTAAACAACTGCTTTTTGTTGTAAGTCATATGTATATCAATGAAATATTCAACTGAATATGAAAATCAATGAATGTAGTTTTCCTAGAAATTTTTAATAAAGTGGTAGCATATGTGATTCCACTAAGTCTGTTTAAATGGGGTCAAATACCATAATCTTGGTTTATAATATGGGGGTGGAAATGGCATTATTTACTATAGCAGATGTAAGTTTGGCCATACTTGGCAGGGTTTAATTCCTTAAGATTTTCACCATAGTACTGTATTATATAGTGTCTTTTTCCTATTTTATTGGTGGTGTTAGATTATATATAGCTGACCCTGGAACAACATGGGTTTGACCTGTGCAAGTCCACTTATATGCAGATTTTTTTCTATAAATACCTGTGCTGTTTTTGATCCATAGTGTTGGGAGTCCACCAATGTTGAGGGCTGGCTGTATGCATTGATCTATGCCATTTTATATACGGGACTTGAGCATCCACAGGTTTTGGTATCCATGTTTGGGTCCTGGAACTAATCCTCCCAGGGTACCCAGGGACTGTAGTCAAGTTTTGGGGGAGGCAAAAATTATACACTAATTTTTGACTATGCAGGGTGGAGTAGGTATTGGTGTCCCTAACCCCCAAGGTGTTCAAGGGTCAGCTATTTATGACATTGTTCATATTAATGTAAATTGTCTTATCTATACTAGCTTTTCATGGTATTAATGGTTGTGATTTTATCAGAATAATTATAGCTATCTTGACACTTCAATTTCACTTATTTTGTTTTGTTATTTTTTTGTTATCCTCACCTGAGGATATTTTTTTCATTGACTTTTTTTAGAGAGAGTGGAAGGGGTCGGGGAGGAAAGAGAGAAAGAGAGAGAGAGGAGAAACATTGATGTGACAGAGACACATCGATTGGTTACCTCCCACAGGCACCCCAACCAGGACTGGGATTGAACTTGCAGCCCAGGTACCTTGACCAGGACTCAAACTGGAGATCCTTTGGTGTTCAGGCCAGCGCTCTAACCACTGAGCATGCTGGCCAGGGCTCTCTTATTTTGAATTACTAAATTACCAATAGAGTATAGATTGAGAAATTTTTTTTTGCTTGAGAGAATAAAACATTTCAAAACAGAAATATGTAGCTAATCTTATGTTAAAGGCTGTCTCTTTCCCTATTTTATTTTAGGTTGATGTTTCTGGATTTCAACTTTCTTCTCGAACTCCATACAGAACTGCCTTTGAAACTGTATTACTGCTTACAAAAGTAGGTTTTCTGTTGCTCTTTTACTGCATTCTGCATCTGGTCTAATATATAGGTACAAAAGACTGTATGAAATGACAATAATTTTAATAAAATATATTCCACCTTTACTGTTTGAAGCTTTGATGATAAAGAATTATCTAAACTTGCTGTCTCTAGTTCTTCAGTATTAACCTGCTCCTCAAACTATTGCAACCAATAAAGCCTTCTTTATTGCACACTTCTCAAACCTTATCTTGCTTGAACTTTTCTTACTTCTTAGATTATTTCTCAGTCTACTTTTTCTGCTCTTTCCTGTTTATTTTTTTTAACCCTTTGCACTCCGTTGTCCCCTCTCAGGGGACATCGGAATTCTAGCATATCACTCGGATGTCCCCTCTCAGGGGACATTGCAGTTTATTAGTGATTACGGGGAATTGAGTTATTTCAACGCAACTTTTTGAGACATGCATGTTTCCCTGAAGTTTTATCTTGAAATGGCACAAGAAATTAAATCAAAATATCGTAAAATTACTAAGATATATACAAGAAATGTCAGCGGGTTTTGTGTCAGATTAAACAATAAACTACATATTCCCGATGTGGGACAAAGAAAACGGGACTGCATTGTGTGTTCTAACAGGAAAACACCTGGTGGCAGGCGTCAAACCACTTATTACTGTCAAACATGCACTAATCAGCCTGCAATGCATATTGGGGAGTGTTACAAAACTTATCATACTGTACAAAATTATAAACAATAAAATATTGTTTTTTTTGCAAATATACATTCCTCGATGTCACCCAATTCATATAAGTCCAATATCATTATAATACGTTACTTGGTTCCAAAATTATACTAAATAATACGAGGGTCTGTAAATGCACGTTTCCGCCGCAAAGTAGTGTCGAGTAGCTGGTAGCCAATGTCCAGAATGGTTCAGAGTGCAAAGGGTTAAAATATATTTTTATTGATTTCAGAGAGGAAGGGAGAGGGACAGGGAGATAGAAACATCAATGATGAGAGAGAATCATTGATTGGCTGCCTCCTGCACACCCCACACAGGATCGAGCCTACAACCCAGGCATATCCCCTGAACCATGACCTCCTGGTTCATAGGTCGACGCTCAACCAATGAGCCACCCTGGCTGGGCCTGTTTATTCTTTAATTAGCATTCAGTTAAGAAAATATACTGATGACTGTCAAATCTGTATCTGATCCCCAGATTTTTGGTTAAGCTTTAGACCAGCTGCCTCTTGGACATCTTTGATTGCATATCCCATTAACTTCTCAAACTTAATATGTATAAAACTGACCCTTTTTCCCCCTTTTAATTCTCCCGCCTCCTCCAGAACTTTACTGAGTATGTAAGCAGGAAACCTGGATGGTGGTCTTAATTCTATCTTTCTCACCACCTGTACCAAGCCCTGTCAGTTTTATATCCTAAATTATTCTGAAGTCATCTGCTTGTTTTCATCCACACTGTTTTAATCATCAACCCCTCTCATTAGAATGTTGTAAGGCCCTCCTATCTGGTCTCTTTGCTTCCAGTCTCATTTCCCTGTAATCCATTTTTTTATGAGGCAGCTCGAGTGAGCTTTGTACAAGAACCAACCTGATGTTTGTTCTCTGCTTAAAATACTTCGATAGTGCCCCATTGCTATTAGGTTAAGATCCAGCCTGACCGTGGTGTATGAGATCTGTCTGGTAAGGTTGGACTCCTTACCTAGCAGTCTATCTTTCTCTGCCTGCCCCTCTTCCATTCTATATCCAGCCCTATGATTTCTCTGTAACACTATGTGATGTTTCTTATCTCCAGGACTTTGTATATTTCCTTTGCCACTTTTTGCCTATTATGAACAATAGTGCTGTAAACATTTGTGTACAGGTTTTTGTATGGACATGCCTTCATTTCTTTTGAGTATATGCTTAGGAGTGGAATTGCTAAATGAATGTTAATTCTCTGTTTAACATTTTGAGGAACTGCTAAACTGTTTTCTAGAGTGGCTGCACCATTACACCATTTTACAATTCTACTTGCAATATATGAGGTTTCTACTTTTTCCACATTAATATCTATGCTTAGATATTAATTGTTATTGTCTATCTTTTTATTTTAGCCACCCTAGTAGGAATGAAGTGGTATTTCATTATGGTTTTGATTTACATTTCTCTAGTGATTGATGAAATTGATCGTTTTTTCATGTGCTTATTAGCCATTTGTTGTC